ATTGTCTTGATTCATAGAATGTCTTATTATGTATTACCCATTGTCTTGGTTCGTAGAATGTCTTATTATGTATTACCCATTGTCTTGATTCATAGAATGTCTTATTATGTATTACCCATTGTCTTGATTCTAGAATGTCTTATTATGTATTACCCATTGTCTTGGTTCGTAGAATGTCTTATTACGTATTACCAATTGTCTTGGTTCGTAGAATGTCTTATTACGTATTACCCATTGTCTTGATTCGTAGAATGTCTTATTACGTATTACCTATTGTCTTGATTCTTAGAATGTCTTATTACGTATTACCCATTGTCTTGATTCGTAGAATGTCTTATTACGTATTACCCATTTTTTGGTTCGTAGAATGTCTTATTATGTATTACCCATTGTCTTGATTCATAGAATGTCTTATTATGTATTACCCATTGTCTTGGTTCATAGAATGTCTTATTATGTATTACTCATTGTCTTGATTTATAGAATGTCTTATTATGTATTACCCATTGTCTTGATTCATAGAATGTCTTATTGTGTATTACCCATTGTCTTGATTCATAGAATGTCTTATTATGTATTACCCATTGTCTTTGTTCCTAGAAAGTCTTACTTTTAATGGAACTGAACACTGTTAATGCTATTAACATTTTCCTCGAATATATTATTTAGTATCTCTCTCTCTTTAAAAGTTTGTGATATTTCCTACTGATTACAGAAACATATATTAGATACAATCATATAATAACTTTAAATCTCTGTTGACTAAGTAATACTTCCACGAAATAGAGAAATTAAATAAAATTGATATAATTAAGGTATCTTACGTTTAATTTCTTCAAATTTAAACTGAGTTTCAAATCTCTTGCTAAGTGAAGTTTTCACCTAAATGTTAATCTTTATGATACTTATAATGGTATAGCTTAGAAAGAAAAACTCGTGGTCGTACCATCTGGGCGATTCGAACCTTCTCTTCTAAATAGGATATATGGGATTGAAGGCTTCTCATTTCCGACTCCACTTTAGCATTGTACAGATGGATGTTGAACTTTTTTCCCAGTTCTCGTTGATTCCCGTTTTCTTGAGTTGCAGCATTTCCTCTCGCCATTCCCACCTCACTGAGAGCTGACCCTTGAGGATACAGTCATTGTTAATGGATATTACTCATTTCATCACTCAGTGTTTATGGAACGTGTTTTCCAACTTATAACAGCAATGTAAATGGGTTTATTCAAATTTACTGTAGGATAATTGGAGGAACTGGAAACAAATAGGTCAGTAATATAGTTATTGTTGTAAAACAAACGAGCTGCCATTACTTTTGCATATATCAACTACGACTTTTGCCTGATCTAAATAACTGTATAAAACAATGGAATTTTGAAACAAATTACGTTGATTTTTACCAGATTTCTTAAGTGTTTCTATTTTATTTATTTTGCTTTTGTGAATTTTAGATTTGAGAACATGTACAGATGTTCTACACGTATATACATTTTCAAATAGTGATTCAGTATTTCACATATTTATGTACAGCTCAGTGTTCAGAGCCAGGTAGCGTCGTGTCGTCCCTAAATTCGAACCATTGGTCACAGCGAAGTAATGGGTCGGTAGCAGCCTAATGCTACGTTATTTTATTTATTTATCGATCAATCCATTTGATATTATCTAATTAATTATTATTACTATTATGTACTTTTTTACACCAAATTCCGAATGTAAGTAAGACAGAAATGCACTTTCAATGTAAAGAAGTGGACATATTGACTGCAAATCGAAGTTCAACACCACAGCAACAAGACAAATAAATGCAAGTCCAACCTAGCATCAACATTCTGGTACATACATAGATAGATATATACATACATATATACATACAGGAAACGAGGGTGACAGGTTATCTCTGCAAGTATGAATGACTGTTGAGATAGACATTTGGTACAATGCTAGTGTATTTGTGTTCCGTGGGTAAGATGCACTAAAAGTTCTTTACAGTTACTTTCGTTAATAGTATTAATTGGAATGTTTAATATATATATCTAGTTTTTTATTATTTTTGATTTTATTTTTATTATTATATTTTCATTACTTGGCTCTGCAGTATTTGACAAACGTACTGCAACAGGACTTGATAACTGCGTGCAGAAGAGCCTGTGCTAAAAACATAGCTATATGCTGATATTAATCGCTACAGCTACCATGTAAGTCGTTGGAATGTTTAATATATCTAGTTGTTTAATTACTTTTTAATTTTATTATTATTATTATTATACTTCCATTATGAATATTGTTTTGCATTGTTGACTTTGTATATGCATTTAGGATTAACCCAAATCTCGTAAGCTGGCTTAAGCTCGTGAGATATTATTGTTATTGTAGCCGAAAACATCGTTAACAGCAAGGGCACTGAAGTGATTAACCAATGAGTTCTAATCTTTATAAATAAAAATGTAAGAAAAGTGCATCTAATTTAGCTATAGTCATTACTGATACCACGCTGAATTTTAGTTTTCCTTTAAGTAAGTAGCTTGTTCTGATCGAAGTTAATATTAATAATTGCGCAAACTAGTCAATTTAATCTAAGTTAACCACTATGTTCCTACAATAATTCGAAATTAATTAGAATAATAAAAACCTGAAGACGAATATTAATATTTTTAAACACGGTAATTGAGAACAAAAGCCGGATGCTTCATATATTTTTGTTTTCTTTTAATACAGTGAATTTAGGTATTTTGCTTAACACTGTTGTTCAATTTAGCCATTATAACAGAAGCTAATATTTTAACAGTTAACGAATAAGCCTACTATATTATATCTGATCGACACTATAGCCACATGGCAAAGAAACATAAGCCTAAATTAGTACCAATAATTTACTATAAAATTGCACAGTTTCAGAAAATTGTTCCAAGGTGACCATTGTATCTAAAAAATATATCGAAATCAATTGTAATAACTGTGAGAAAGTAATGATAATATTAGCTGGCCCTGAATAAAAATAAAATCCCGAGAACTTATCTTTCAATCTTTATACTCTTAAGCGCCTTTTCCAGTCACCCTTTTTGTACATTATCTTAACAATTACAAATATATTTGTGTCTAGTGGTATTTTTAAGCTGTAGGTGTGTGTTTTATTTAAGTCCATATAAACATACGCTGAACACTCATTAAGGTACAATCAAAAAGTATTTCAGCATATTAAAATATTTTTTAATCATACCCTAGTGAGCGTTTAGCTCACCTATTGCATAAAGATACTATTGGAAATTAATGTTAATTATATGGACTGTACACAAATATGCTAATAAAATGGAAGATTCAAACACGAGTTACCGGAGATATAATCTGTAGTACCTCCTGGTGGTGATATCCAAGGCTCAACTGGAAATTTTGGTCTCTTCCCGCGGTGGACCGCACGAGGACACCCTGATAAACTTCGGTGAGTAAGGAAAGTTCCCGTCACGTGACCGCTACCATCACAGCCAGGAGTGGGGCAACTGCAAGATCGGCAAAAAGTTTAATGTTTAGTGTTTGTAGTTAAGCACAAAGCTACACAATGGACTGTATGTGCTCTGCCCACCACGAATATCGATCGCAACCCGGTTTCTAGCGTTGTAAGTTCGCAGACATATCGCTGTGCCACGTGGGGGGGGGGGGGGGGGGCGGTCAGAAATAAACTTACGAAACAACGTATATTTCTAAGTAATAATAACAGTCGCAAAATTTAAGCTCGTCAAAGTCCTATAAAATACTAAAAGACATTACTAAAAGCAAAGTGTAAATTCCTTATGCAAAGTGGTATGTCGATGTGGTTTAACTTCTTTTTTCTACTCGCTGCACATTTGGTTAAAGTAAAAAAAAGGAAACACCGATAAGATGCCAGAATGCAACATTAAAAAATACACTTAAATGCTTATCCTTCTGAAATCGACGTACTGATGGTAAAACAAACAATAGTAAACTATCTTGCCAATCTATATATAGAGAGCACAAAAATATGTGTGTCTGTCTGCTTGTCCGTTGTATAACTACTCCTAGGTCGCTGGGCCAATCTCAATCAAACTTTGTGAGATGACAGTTTGAAACAAGGGGCATGTTAATGGGGGGGTTCACAACCCCCTCCATCCCCATTATTGATGTTATTGAACATTTATTTTCTTTGACGTATGTTAACGTTACTGCATTCATAAATTGCGCCACATTCTTACGGCAAACAAAACAACTTTATTAAATATTCTATAACACAACATGCGCACAGTGTGAGTGGAAGACACACAAATGTCATATATATCTCAGAGATTTTGCTATCACTCCCTAAGGAGGAATGGAATTAAAATAATGGCAGCAACTATTGCAATAATACATAAGCTAAGATGAAGCTTATACTACAACAGCCACCATAACACTGATATAAAGAGCCTTTTCTTGAGTTATACCCACTTTCTACTTTGACCCGTGACCTTACAACTTCATCTCGTAAGACACTTCTGCGACCAATGGCCGTCAATTAACTAATAAGGTGAAACAGTGTGGAAGAACATTAAGAATTAGGTGTTGAAAGCACCCCTACCGCCACTACTATGGCCGCTACCTCTTCGTACAAAGTCATCCTGACCATCGTACAGTGGATACCATGTTAATATATATATATATAGTTAGCTCTTAAAGCATATACACAACTTTGGGTGTAGTAATAATGAATACTGTTATGTTATGTTATAAATAAATTGTGTAAGAGTTAGGATTTTTTATGTTATTTGTCATAGCATCCACCCCCATATTTTTGAAGTTCATAACCCGGACAAAGGACGGGAACCTCAGCTTGTAGAAAAATATAAAGCAGACTGAGTTGATGGAAAAATAACAGCGAACTGTGTTACCGAAACGCACTCGCATACAAATAAAAAAATAGAACTAGTTATGGTAGCACAGGAAACTATTTTATATATTGACAAACACATACATACAAATAAAAACAGGGTAGACGATGTAGTAGTACAAAGAACAATAACGTGTGTTAACAAAACCAAAAAATATTAAAAGCAAACTTACTTATGGTAGAAAGAAAATAATAACCTGTGTTACCAAACGCAAAAATAAATAATTAGAAAATATAATAGAATTAGTTATGGCAGGACAAATCGTAATAATCTATATTACCAAATGCAAAAATACTTAAGTAAAAATAGAATATCCTTAGGTGGGAAAATGGTAAGTTTATCGACTTAAAACTATAGAAATCCGGGGTTCGATTACCCGCGGTGGACACAGCTGATGGTCTAATTGGCCTCTAAAACAAAATAAAAAGTAGGATAGACCTAGGTATTATATAATAATCAATATTTTTTAAAATGTTACCGAACAAAAATACAAACAAAATAGAATAAATTCAAAAGTCATGGTAGAACAGATAATTATTATTTGTTACCGAACATAAAAAAAGACAGAGTTACAGTAAATGAAATAATAATAATAATTTAACATTACTAAAGGCTGAAAAAACAGAAACAATTAGTTATAGTGAAATAAAAGGCAGTAAATTATGTTACTTAAGAAATATACAGAATTAAAACTTATTCAAATAAAAATGCATTTAAACTGAATGATTATAATGGAGTGTCGCTAACACTTATGCTTTCTCAGGTATTCTGCATTATAATATTACGACGGTGGTTTCAAAGAATTCTGCCAGATATTGAGATATATTTGTAATATTTCACTAAACCCAAGATGCTAACGAATGATCGTTGTATGATTAAAGTTTAGCAATAAAATAACGTAGAAATTATAATATGTGTGTGTGTGTGTGAAGCCATTGGATAAAAAAAATTCAAATGTAACGTCATTGAAATGTTGTAGTGAAAAAGTACCAGTGGTGATCATATGGTTCTTGTTGGTTTTAACACATTTTTCTAAATTATTTATCGATCAAATTGCTTGTGGATCTATTAACTTTTTGGTTACAGCGTCCCTTATAACTTTATAATTTTAAAAGAAGAATACAGTCACTTTTACCATTAATCGAACTAATTGCTATTGGTGGTTCCATACGTATTTTACATAGAAAATTAGTGACTTCATCCAATACTCTTGTTTAGTTCTTTACACTAAGTGATATAATAAAGTAAAAAGTATTCAATCTGATGCAATATGTGAACCATACTTGTAGCGTAACATATATAAATTAATCGGTAATTTGAGGGCTAAAGTTTATGTCATAGTTTTTGAACTAACTGTTTTTCAACAATTCATAGACGATCAGTTAATGATATATTTTTATAGTATTGGTGAAGTAAAGTTAACTCCTGTTTTTGTATTCATAGGATTTTTACACATTCGAAAATATATTTAAATTTCATACTTTTCTTTCCTTTTTTTATTATAGGCGCCGAGTCAGAGGTACATATATATATATATCGGGTTTGATATACTAAAAATTAATGCTGTCTTACTATTGTATTTCATCTAACATTAACAACACCAAACTGTATACAAATAAGTCACTTGTTGATGTTTATTTATATACTTTGCTTAGTTTATTTGTTTTTATTGTTTCTTTCGTGTTTTTTTTTTTGTTTGTAGCTATGCACAAATCTACACAGTGGGCTATCTGTGCTCTGCCCACCACGGGTATAAGTCCGCAGTCATACCGCTGTGCCACTGGGAGGGGGCATATTGTTTCGTATACACAGGTTTTAGATACCTGTATTCGTATGAAGTAAATGATACTACATACACGTGTTTGTCTGTTGATTAGATTTCGTGCGAAGCTACTCAAAGCGAGGGCTAGCTGCGCTTGTCTTTACAAGGTTTGAAGCGACAGACTAGAAGAAAAATATCTCGTCAACAAAACCCATTGCCAACTCTTGTTCGGAGTGCGATTTTTGATTTGTATTTTTGGCGGTAGTGAAACACGAACCACAGAACTGGGCCACGCTCGACCCATGTGTATGTGTGGTATGTATGCAAAAAGTTAAGTATTTTGTGTATTTATGCGTGTATATGTACTTTATTATGTAGTTCAGAAATGTTTACCAATTATAATAATAATACACTAATCTCAAACAGACGTAGTATATATATATATATATACTACCCTCTGTAATATTATCTCTTCGTGTTTAACTCTATACATATTTACTCTGACATAAGGATTCTATTAAAGTTATTTTGAACGTTTTTATATAGTTATTAACAGTACACTTTGAAACACCAACTTACCTACTTCCTTCTGGTTTAATGATTCTTCTACTTGAAGTTAAAGGTTCGTGATGATACTTGACTATACCCTTACTAAGACTTGGGCAACCTGACACTCTGATTCTCAGAAAAATATTACTTTTAACATTGGAAATAAAATTTCAAAAATCCATACAGTATATCGATTACCTTATGAGAAAGTTCATCCTAACCTAACTCACAATTTTTAGATAAAATGACCGATAATAACAATCACTACTATAAAAACAATTACAAAGAGAAAAATGTATTAAATCAATAATAAGTACGTGTTATATATTTGGTAAGACTTATTCATGAGCATCAATCATATTTTTTTTACATAACTATTTCTGTAGAATAGAATAATCAAACAATACTTCAATCAAACAATAAATCTAGCAAATCTATTTCATTGTTTAACAAATTATACTTACTTTAAGTAAGTGGGACCTACAGTGATCAGTTAATCGTATTAGGTCTGCTTAGTTCTAATGTCTTATACGTGCTCTATTACATAGAACATAAACACACTTTCTAGAGGTCTATTGCAGACACCTTTTTTTTTCTCCAGATTTGGTTATAACTCGAGACTTTCATTCGTTTTCACAGAAAGTTGCTTAATGTATGAGATAATTGTTAACTTAAAAGAAGTAAAATAATTGAGATAGTTTTTAACGAGTCTGAAATATATTCGAAACAAATTCTACAGACAAAATTCTCATTTCTTAGAAGAAGAAAAAAATTAGCAATGGCTAAAATATTCATATAAATGAAAATGTTCAAAAATAAAATAAATAATAAGATCAAGAACACTTAACCAAACAGCTTACCGGTATATGTTGCCATGGGTCTTTTCTTCTCTCAACACAGAAACTTTGTTAGGTCGATTGGCACGTGGACAACCTGACAGACTACGATGAGTAGAGTAATTTCCTGTCACATGACCAGAGCCATCACATCCATGAGTCGGGCAACTAAAAATCAATAAACGAAAAAGTTGAATATAGTGTTGCGTCAGCGAGGTCACGTGACTAGTGTCACGCCACTCCTTCTCTCGAACCTTCGTGAATGTCCTAGCATTTACTAGATTGGGGGTAGTCTGGTATATATAAGATGGTGACAACGTGACGGACAATGTGTGTAGGTAGTGAGTAATTGAACTGCAGTCAGAGAGTATTGTTGAAGTTAACGTTCGTTGTTACAGCGTTTGTTATAAAGCGACTATTGAAAATAAGTGTATCGGTAAAGTTATATTCAGAAAGAATAAATCAGTTTTATTAAGAAAGGACTTGTGTCGCTAAAGTTTCGTGGGAACGAAGTTACGGAAAATTAATTAACGACTGGAGGCGTAACAATATGTAAGCACCGGTGAGACTTTAAGTTATGACACAACAATGACAAAGCTGACTCAATATGTTAAGGCAAAAACTATCTGAAGATTCTTCTTATAAAATGTTTTGTTAAAGATATAGGATTCTTTGAGGAGCTGAGGATTTTTTAATGAAAGTTTTATGTTAGAGATATCGGGTTCTTTGAGTTGCTGAAAACTCATCTTATAAAAATGTTCGCTAGAGGTATTTAGTTATTTGAATTTATTTAAACAATACAGTTACATTCAGAATAATTATAAGCTAACATATTAGACTGTAGGAAAAGTTTAAACACAGAAAGTAATCATTCACGCCAATTAAATTTTTATAAGCTGATATGTTGAAAGGAAGAAACTTTTGTATTTCTAAATTTGAGCATTTTCCGTCAACAACTGACTGATCAATAATAAAAGATAAGTAGATTTAAAACAAGTAAATATAGAGTAATAAACCTAATTAATTGAATAGGTGCTTTTTGTTATGGAAGTAATTTTGTTTTTTATTTCAATTACATTTTACCCTTCACAAATGTAAAAAAAGGATAAAACACTTCTTCAATAATATATATATAGATCAAATCGTACAGTTTATTTATGTGAGGCAAAATCTTTAACGATCGAATACATAAAATAATTTGTACGTGGAAAATTTCAAATTAGTGCTGTAATCCAAAGAGTTGTTTGCATAACTGTTTAATGACTAGGGCTGCTTATTTTACAATGCATCTAAATGTGTTAGAGACAAAATAAATAACATGAAACAGCTAGATGCTAATTCCAGAAGTTGTATTTGTGTGTACTCATTGAAAACGTTTATGATGAAAGAATTTTTTTAAAATCATAAATAATATTTAACGTTAAACTGGTACACAATTAAAAACATTTTATTTAGGCCTATCTATGGCCTTCAAAAAGTTGACGACTCTACATGTTTCGACGTTACAACGTCATCCTGAGGTGGACAAAGTGCCAAAATACTATAAGAAATTTTCTATTTAGAGTGACTTACGTTTTAAATCATACTAACATCAGTGCTACTTGATCGAGGAAAATTTCTCACTAATACTTCTGTTACTAAACTACATTGTCTGAGAGATATTAAATAGTTTCTTGAGTGGGTTAGGTCTAAGAACGTATGTTTTGTACTGCCTTTAATTGTGAAGCATCAAAACAGCAGTGTATATTGAAGGTAGTTTTCACTCGTTTTAATTTTTAAACTGGTAATAAAGAATGGATTCAAAGCGAATTTTTAATTCTAGATAGAAGAGTATATCACAGCGTCTTACCTTAACTCGTGACGTTGACTTTTTAATTGGTCTTTGTCGGCAAGAGGACACCCTGAGAGACTGTGTAAAGAATAAAAAAGAAATATAACTTCTACCTGACATAAAGGGACGTAATGTATAAAAAAATAACACTACTGTGAATGCGTTTACATTTTTGTACACCAAATTTTGTGGTGTATGGTAAAAACGCTGTTTCGTTCGTTATTTCCCCCTCCAAAAAAAAGCAACAACAACATATATTACTTAATTTGATGTGAAATTTACCTTATCATCACGTTCAACATTTGTATTCACAAATAACATAATCAAATGTTTATACCCACAATTCCAATTTGCCTATAAAAAGATGAGGCGCAATATTTGGACATTAGAAAATGTCTCTAACACAGTGGCTTAAGACCGGTAACATACCACTTTAAACACCCCATTGAAATGCATGCACTTACATGTAAAGAAGCCATAACAGCCCAATTTGCTAACGATGGTGTTCAAAACTTGTAATATATTTAGTTAAAGTTTTAATTTCAGACCCACATAAACCACAAAAATTGGAGTACCACGAATAATAGTTTAGTACCCAGAAAACCTGTGCAGAAAGTAGAATAAATAAAAGATTAACGCTTTTGCCTAATTCCAAAGAATATCGCTATTTTCACCTCATCGGATATTATTTCAGAACATAATATTCAAAATACATATTAGTACATAAACATTTGAATAATTTATTTAATCTTGATTGATAGTTTGTTTCAAGCATTAGCAAAAAAATAAAATAAATTTAAATCTAATATTATCTGCTATATCGTTTCTAGCTCACTCGTTAAAATTTCACATGTATTTATCTATAACAAATATAGAGTATTTAGTTTCAATAAGCTATTGTAATTTACCAAAGGCATCAAGGCACTGAATGTTTCAGCAGGAAATAAAGCTGAAAAACGTCACGTGCTCATGCTCTGCCAAAATCTTATAAGCTCTATCCTGGATTATGCACTACTGATGGTCAGTACGAGTGTTATGAAAGTAGATGGAGTGAAAACAAGGCCATATATCACCTGAAAAACACCAATAGTGCTTACAAATAAAATTCTTCGCTAGGACTTTGTTGCATTATAAAGACCATGCATTTCATAATCGTGCCACTTCCCTTTTTAATTGAGATATAGCTTTAAAGACGCCTCAGAAGACACTCATGGTTGGATAGATGCTATGCAGTCACTACCGAGATAATTGGTCACCATTAGGTCTAGGCGCTCCTCGTAGAATATCATTTTGAGTCACTGGTATTTTTGGAAATTGGCCTATACAGAAAATGTAGCGATTGGGCAGAGAGTAAAGCAGAAAAAGCTTGTCAGGATCTATTTGAAGTTCATGGTGGACAGTCACCTGTCATCATAACCGTAGATGGTTCCTAAACTACATATAACGAGAGATCTGGTTGGGCATTCATTATCTCGCGGAGAAACAACATTCTTTATAAGGTTGGTAGAGCATTCAAGCTTCCCATAAGCAGCACAAGGATGGATCAGGAAACCATAAACTAAGCTCCCCCTGGAATGCTGAAAGCAATGAACAACAAACAGATAATACTACCACAGTAATATTTGGAACAGACTTGGCAGTACTGTGTAAATTTTCAAAGTGGTTGGTCCTCAGATGGATAATAGAAAACCAAATTACTCATGGTAAAGCCATCGCATGAATGTATGTGTCAGACCATGCAGGGTTGAAGCTAAATCAGGAAGCTGACAAATTCGTAAGAGATGTCCCAATATCCGGTACAACTCTATTAGCACGATATCGACCTCTTCTGTACTACTAAGGAGAAAACGACGATCGTGGAAAATGTTCGTCAACATTTAAAGAGAAAAAGAATGTTGGAAAACAAAATATCATATCGTGTAGCCAGGAAAAGTAAAACATGTGTAATAAATAAAACAGAATACAGCCAGAAAGCCAGTGGGAACATCAGTAAAATAACTCTCTTCTATCGCTAACGATGAAGCCGGCCTCCACTTGAGTGTCCAGTGATTGTTATCTAGACTCATTCAACTCAACCTGAACTTTTATATATACTAAATATAACAATAATTTATAAACCAGATATTAAAACCAGCTTTATCTATTAAAACAATATTTTAATTAGTAATATTTTTTAAAATCATTTATATATATATATATATTCTTAGTTGACTAAAAAGCTTCATTTTGATGCCATAATCTATAATATTTAATAGCGGGAATACAATATCTTTGAAGATGCAATTTCAATTTAATAAAACATTTTGTATATAAGTATATGAAAGAGTTAGCTTAACCTTTAATTCTCAATTAAATTAGTATTTATCTAATGAATGTAGAGAGCAGGTTTAAGGTTTAAAATTTAACTACAACATTATTTTAATATATTAAGCCCAATGTACAAGCTTTGTTTTTCAAAGTAATCAATCAGATTCTATTCCGCTTTTCTTGAATATATCGAACGAGTTTTTATACTATTATTGTCAAATGCAGTTGAAATATAAAACTACTAACGTACGCTATACGAATATCTACGCTAAAAATGTTCAATGAAACTAACTGAACTATTACCCCCCAGTGGCACAGCGGTATGTCTGCGGACTTACAACGCTAGAAACTGGGTTTCGATACCCATGGTGGGCAGGGCACAGATAGCCCATTGTGTAGCTTTGTGCTTAATTCTCATCAAACAAACAAACTGAACTATTTTTAGAAATTAGCATGAGAAAGTTTTAAATACCTTCTATGTGTAGTATATTTTCCAGAAACATGGCCAACACCATGACACCCTAGTATTGGACATTGAATCAGTTCCTTTCCTTCTTGCCTCCTGACCGGAACTGTTTTGTGTGTGGGGGATCCTCTATATGAACTATAAATACAATTTTAATTTCGTACACATATCTTTGCAACCCGTAAACATGTAATACAAACATCTTAACTGTTTTGGCTGTTTTGTGTGTGGCGGATCCTCAATATGAACTATAAATACAATTTTTATATCGTACACATATCTTTGTAACCCGTAAACATGTAATACAAACATCTTAACTGTTTTGGCTGTTTTTTGTGTGGCGGATCCTCTATATGAACTATAAGTACAATTTTTATATCGTACACATATCTTTGTAACCCGTAAACATGTAATACAAACATCTTAACTGTACATCTTACATTTCCCTTAACATTTTTGAACGCCTTCTAATCATACAAACTTATGTAATGTTACTATTGTTCTGTATTAGGTAATGTTACTCACCCGCAAATTACAGTAGATATTATTTGATAGTTACTAAGAGCCTAAGCTTCAATAAAATAAAATTACACCTTTATTAGGTTTTGTTTCTAATTCAAGACATTCTGTAGTATATTTTATTTTACAATGAGTGTTCATTATTTTCTGAACACTATTTTAACATAAAGTATTACATACTTCACATTTTGCAAAAAAAAAAAAATAACTATCGAGTGTTTGATAAAATAAATGCCTGTATTTTCCGTATTATTGTAATTAACGGCTTTTAGTTGAACATAATAATCAACTTTTAAAATCATAAATAGTTTCTGTCAAAGAAACACTAACTTGTGACTTACGCTTTATGATCAAACAAGTGAGTGTTTACTACAAATGGTTCATGAGTCCTCTGATGGTCCATCTTTTGACTATTTCTACACGTCGAAATTTGCGTCGAGGGATTAGGTGAGGTTGGAAGCGATCTGGACGATGTTCTACCAGGATGCGAGTACAAAGTTCCATTAGTTGAGGTATCTACTCTACTAGTGGGAGATGTGGGCAAAGAACGGGCTGTAGAACCAAAACATGATGAATAAAAGCTGGGAGTTGATGACGATGAAACGATCTGCAACTGGTTAATTGGTTGCATCGATAAGGTTTCTGAGGTTGTCAGAGGAGCAGGAGCCCACGTTTCCATCATTAAATCGGAGACTGGTTGGTTGTAAGAACTGACATAACTTGGAAATCTATCCTGAATGATCCTGTTTTCATCCATAACATCACTGATTATGGTACGTGCTTCAGGACTGCTAACGCCGAAATTATAATTTGAGATCATTCTCTCACAGGAAAACACAGGTGTAGACTTTTGACTCTGAGTAGAGTTTTGTCCATCACTCGGCGTCGTTTCATAAATGTACGATTTTGTATCTCTAACATTACCTGCAACAAATGGGGAACGCGAACACTCTTTTCCAAAAAATGAGCATTTAGAAGAAGGTGGGGAGGAAAGTGTTTCAGAAGTTGAGCAAAATGAAGCCATCACTGATGGGTTTTGTGATCGGTAGTGGGAGGATATTTGCGATAATGATGGTTTTGTGTTCGGTAAATCTGTTGCCATGACATCTGTCCTGGTGCTGAAATCTACAGGTTCTGTTTGTTCTGGAAATTGTTGGTAAGGAGGAAACGACATCTCTTTGGGTGATGTTTGAGCAATACTTCTACATGAAACAAAATGAATGGTGTAAATAATTGTGAGTTATTTTAAAATAAGCCAAGAGCAAGGCAGGTGATTCATTAATTTTAAGAAGATAGTACAAATTTCAAACCAGAACTATGAAATAAATAAATATAGGTTTTTCCAACGAAACAACACACGTCACGTACATTTTCCAAAGAAACCTGCTGATAAAGCTGTTCGTTTTAATTACGGAATATAAACCATAATTTTCTCCAAACTTAACACTTCTCCTCTATGAATACTTGAAATATCACAATCTGATCTTTTCTGAATACTTGAAACTTAAGACAGTTCTCTTATTTGAAATATTGAAACACAACATGGTTATCATATCTGAATACTTGAAACTTAAGACAGTTCTCTTATTTGAAATATTGAAACACAACATGGTTATCATATCTGAATATTTGAAAATAACAAAACTACATATTTGAATATTTAATTATGTTTTATCGTACTTCCCGAAACTTCATTCCTCTAGATTAATAGAGTAAAAAGCAATGTTGATTTTACTAATCAAAGACAGAATTTTAGATATCATTAAGATACTTTGAAATACCCAATAACTGATAAATGTGTTTCAAAATTCAATGCGTTTAAGTTCTTTACTAAATAAGACATAGCAAGATACAACTACTGAACATAAATAAACAATATGTGGGTAGGGTGGCCACGACTCATCTTTCATGTACTGAAATTTCTCTTTTTGTTTCAACTTTATTAAGTATTCACTTTTAGTAAATATTTACTGAATAAGAACGTCGGATACTGAGAGGAAGACTTTTCCGTAGCAACTATAAAATAAATATATTTAGATCACTAAAATAAAAAAAATCAATAGAGACAGTTAATATTAGGATAAAGAAAATAAGAGATAGAGCACAACATGTTAATGAAAAAACTTTGTATATTCATTCATGAGTTCCTAGAGGATACGCAAACAAAATATGAAAACTGTAAGGTCATAAAAGTATTTTTATTCTTAACATGAAAATCACATTTTACTTAGACTGACTCAGTAGAAGCTTATAACATTCGCAAACAAATCATTAGTAAAATATTTTATTGAAAAATCAGAATTTTTGTGTACAACAGACTTGTAATGTTTATTAAAAATTTACCAAACTTAGTGAAGTACATATAGTACATTAAGAATTATATTATGTATAGTTTCATTGATACATGGTGGTTACATTTCGGTCAAAATGACCGAGGACGTAATGTATAGGGATAAACTGAACCGAGCTCTACTTTTCCAATTTTACGAAGAACAGAAAAGTACCTGTCCAAATCTTGTGGAAAGAGGGAATAAAAACCTTTCCAATTTAACCTAGCTATAAAAGGCTATGCAGTACTGTTTTCATTGGTGTTTTCATCTATTGCTAATAATGAAGATATAATCATTAGAAATTATTGAAACGAATACATTATTGTTATAACGAGTTCCTCACTGACACAGTGGTAAGTCTGCAGGCTTACGACCCTCAAAATCGGGTTTCAGTACCTGTGGTAGATGATAGATACATAGATAACCCATTATGTAGCTTTGTTCTTAACAACCAAATTAAACCAATCTTGTTATAATGATACAGATTTTTATCATACATCGATCCTAATATAAAAGGAAAACTCGAAAAAATATAAGCCACTAGATAGGTTAAAACTTGGTATACCACTTGTGAACACAATCTAAATATTTCTTACTTTTTTCATTCCTCTGCTGAAGTTGTACGAAATATATAATGCAAGTATGTAGATTTGGAAGAATTAAAGTATTCTTCCAGTTTCTAAAAGCTGTCTTAGTTTTGGAAGCTTTATGTTTCAAAAATAAGTCGTAAGTTTAGTTTAAGGACCTTTATAATTATTTTGATATCTTTCTGCTGACGAAATAGAAGAATAACTTCGAATGAAATTTTCAAACTACATCTTATCTTTTAACAGATCATTAGAGTGTCATTTTCATCAGACATCTTTCCTAACGACTTCATTATACTCCTAGAAGTTGTAAAGCTATTTGGTAATTATTTTTGCAATCACCATTTGGATGAAATTTTCATTGCAGTTTTTTTCTCTCTTCTGACCAATCAGTTACTATCGCTGTTTTGATGATGTAATCTGTTTATTTAGTTATATTTCTATTAAGAAGTAATTGTTTTCCGGCAACAAAGAATTCAGGATAGGTAAAAATAGTTCAACTTTATTTCTATGTCATCTGCTTGTTAGCTGGAGGTTTGTGATTCAAGTTTGAATTTGATTCTCTTACGTAAGTTCTGCTCATCTTGAATCCTATTTTTGCCAAACTCTCTTAAGATATACATATTAGGAATGTCATAGGATGCTTGAAGAAATTGAAGTTAAATTGTACGTGTTAATTTTCTGATAGTTTCATTGCCTGTTCGAATATCAATAAAATGATATACTATTACATACAAAATACTATTCGATATAGTGTAATAATTTTAGTCTATGTACCAGTGAGACCATGATGAACACAAGGTATTGACCATTAGAAATGATTACCAGCAGTAACTAGTTATACTCAGTAGGGCTATCATTCATATCAAGGCCAGCGTCCTTGGAATATGCTGGATGACATGAAAGCTGAACCATGCTGTACAATATTCAACATGTCTGTGAGATGATCCATAGAAAATCAGTTGTGTATTGTGGAGCGGCAAGTTGAATATTGGATAGCTTCGTTTAGCTGTCAGTCAGATCATCACGAGAATTCAATCAAATATGCTAGGCATCGTTGACATGAATGGTGGCTGAAGTCACTAGATGTGGCGTCCTCTTATAGCCATTTCTGATAACTACATTCGTGTTCTTCGTCCTCTGTAACTTTACTCCTTTTCAGGCAACACGAATTTGAGTGAATTTGACCATAGAGACAAAAACATAAAATTCAGAATAATAGCCATATCTCAAGGTTTGACTAATTCATTTTGTACTTAAGTTTTGGAAAATAAATCTGTGCTTTGTAATTAAATTTAATGAATGTTTCGTGATTCCTCTAATTAAAAATTCAATGTTCGGATAGGATATCGAGCAGATAAGTTATTTACTTGTGACACAATCTGTTCTAATCCAAAAGAAGATCTGAAAATAATTGCAGATTTTAAGTTTTACGATATATAGTATCAACACAAATGGAGGGAAGGGATTCAACCTTACCAAAGATTGCGATATGGCGAGAAAAAAGTTTCAATTTTTATCTTTTATCAGCATCTACTCATATATTCAGTAAGAAGATTTTTCGTGTATGAATATGAACAAAAACATTTTAGCATCACGTATAGGACATAGCAGATAAGGTTTTCTCTCCAAAACAGTGCTCTTGAAATCGGCTGATTAACAATACACATACAGTGTAAGTTGAAAAGCTTCCTTTAAATCAATTATATATGCAATAGTAAGTTGTATAATGTTGTATAGATAAGCATGACCATTTTTAGGGTAACAAGTGTAACTAATGTTACAAAAACAACAGTATATTATGAAACATTCTACTCTTAACCGACTTAACAAAGGCTTCTAATAAAAACATGCATGACTATACTTGTGAATGTTTTGGTTATTTTTATATAATCAAACAAACACTTGGAATTATGTATACAAACCGTGTAGCAGTGACCCCCAAAAAAGTATAGTAAAAAATATATTATGTAATTTTTTCGGGAAAATTGTATGTATGATTACATGATGTAATTACTGTTATTAGATCCAGACTATATTTTAGAAAGATACATTTTCAGTAGTAAAGGAAAAACAAACTTACTCACATTGATATCTCTGTAATAGGAGTTATAAACGTAGGTCAGGAGTTGTGTTTTTATAAATACAAAAACTGTTATTTGTTAAAATGATTTGTTTTTTTTAATTAAAGCATTTCTTTTGAAACTGTTTTTTTGAAAATGTGTGATAAGACTGGTACTATATTTATGTTGTCATGAGTAAATCTGGTTAATGAATTATCTATATGTCTGAAATACTTATGGAAATGCACATATAAGAGACACAAACAATGAGTGCTTGCAACTAAATCTTCAATTTATTGTCAGTACAATATCTATTATAGAAAATGAAAAAGCAAGTAAACTGTTCAACGCATTATTGATTTATATATGTTTAAAACAGAGCTTTACGTCTTCTTTTATTGTACTATATGTATATAATGTATTGATTGTGAAATGTTGCTTCAAATGTCTCAAATTATTTCCCACAATTCAGCCAAGTTGTTGAGTTTTTCATATACCTTCTTACTTTTCATATAAGCCTATGCAGCTTTAATAATATACCTATCGAAATTCTGTGCAGGCTAAGCAATAGTTTCGAGTGTTTCATTGGCCCCTTTTTATTCCAGGTAACGTGTCACCACGTGTCCTGAACAATTGAGGTCACTTTCTTGCTGAATAGTTAATCTGTTCAACAGACCTTGTTCCTGAAGGAATGACATGATGGATAAGAATCTGCCTGTGTCTTTCGATAGCCAGGGTGCCAGCAGCTTTTCGTAGATTTCCGAAACCACTGGCTGAGATGTAGCCTACACTTTTATAGGTTTCCCAGCATGTTTCGCTGTAAATGTTTCACATTAACCATGATACCGTTCTCCTCTCTACCACCAAACAAACCATAGTTGATTGTTTCTAAGCAATTTAAATTGCGATTCATCTGTAAATAGCACTTTTATCCATCTTTGCTCATTTTATTATTTGAGGTGTGAGGCCCACTTCTCTGCTTTAGTTTTATACCTCCAAAGCAATATTTTTTGAGCAGCTGCGCATCCACTGAGGCCACTTGAAGCTAACGTGTGTCTAAATTAGGTGTAACATTCCACTTGTAAACGTAACTAGATCGTTGGCAAGATCTTTATTGAATTGTCTTATATCACATTAGGAGCATCCCTGAGTTACTTAACATCACTTTTGAAAAAGTTTAAGCTCTCTACCTCGACTGCTTCTATTATCAACAGAAGTAGTTTAACGTGCCTGATTAAGATATTCATTACAGTTTCGATTGTAACACTAAATTCCGCAAGGAGTAGACAAAATGTTTATTTCTGCTGCGAAAAAACCCGCAATCACTAAGGAGATATAGTTGTCACTAAGTTTAGTGAAAACAAAGTGCTCTCAGGTATTCATTTAAATGCATTTCCAAGCTACATGTTAATTTTATGGTCAAGTTTTGTTAATTCTAATCATATTATTGTTATTATTAACCACAAGTTACACAATATTTGTGACCTTCAACTAAGGAATAAAGTACCCCCACATCGAAAAATTAGCTCTACTTCAAGGTTAAGTGTCAAATATGTTGCAAAGGGCCTAAGAACAGGCTCAGCAAACATTATTCCTGTCCTTTGTTCTTATGAGCATCAAAACAACCTTCCATAATATTTCTTAATATATATTTGTTTATCAAGTATTGTGAAAATGTGTAAACTTAGCCCTTTGGTCGAACGTCATACACAATGATGACGTCAAAGTTTATAGAGAACAACAAATGACACTGATAGTTAGAAAATCTGAAGATACTAGGAATAGTGACATGCTAGTGTGGCAATTTGACTGGTCGGATGACATCCAATCAAAGTGTAAACTACTAGCATGTGACTATACTTAGATGATGTCCATTTTTATATTGGCATGACCAGAGGATTAGGGCGCTTGACTCGCAATCTGCGGATCACGGGATCAAATCCTGTCACTGAACATGCTCGCCCTTTCAGCCGTGGGAATGTTTTAATTTGCTTAAATTTAAAATCCCTATAAGCATGTTATATTATTTTACATTCGATATTTTTACAGTTAAGCTTAAACTGATATTTTGGGCGAATGTACTTGTTATCTAGTGCCAGTGGTCCTACGTGTACGAGCATTACTACTGTTGGTGGTTTTACGTGGATAAATGTACGTTACTGCTGTCATTGATCGTATGCGAACGAGTTCATGTGCTACTGCTGTTATCGATTTTACGTAAACAAGTTTATATGTTAGTGCTGTGAGTTTAATTAAAAGTCCTGCACCTATCACAACAACACCATGACTGTAAGCTCTCTTCTGATGATTTTGAGTTTTCAATAATGCTACCAATCGATGAGCTCCTGGCTTCTTCGTTTACGTTGATTTAAATCGAAACTTAACTTGAATCTATACATTTTCCATTATTACTATTATTTTTCATTACTGTTATTAGCTTGAACTTATTTTTTTATGTTTTCAAAGCTCCAGTTTTTCTCTGATTTTCGAGAGAAGAAAAGAAACTACTCTTTAAATATCATTAGCCAAATTAAATTCTGATTAAAACTATGTTCTAAGAAAACAGCATCAGATTGGCTTTGATTCAGACTTCACATCCCCCTGTTTATTTCATAGCATAAATTACACCCTTCGATACTTATATATTCCTCAAGTTATTTCAAAATCCATACCTTTCTTTCTTTTTATTCTGGAAGTCTGTTAAAGCCTCACAGCGAGTGTGACCTTAAGTATTTTACATCTCTGTATTGTTGTCTATATAAGCTGTCTCTCACAGCATAAAAATTAAAGTTTTAAAATAATTACGCTTTTGAAAAAAACTCTTGAACTATTGTAAAACCCATTCAATCAAGAAGCAATTCCCAGAGTTTTAAAATATTTCACTTTTTGGTTTTGTGCAGTCTAGTGTCTCAAACTTAAACGTGTGTGAAGAAAATCGTATAATGCTTTGTCCTCAAAGGTGAATACGAATTATTTGGTTAACTTCTGTTTATAAAAACAAATACTCAAACAAAACTAATAGAAACCTACAATAACTGACTTTAGTTTTACACCACATATTTTGACTTGAAATACCCTGTAATGAAGAAAATTTAAAGAAAAGGTACAAAATATAGCACCTCAACACGTTTCTTTATTGGCTTAACCATAAAAGTTCGTGTATGAAAATCTCAAAGGTTTATTCGGAAGAAGTTCAGATAAAAACAGTCTATCTACTTCTCAGGCTAGACTTTTAATTCAATGTGATAAGGATCACAAATCACACAAATGTATTAATAAATACATTAGATAAGTCGATAAAAAAATCAATCCCGCACAGTTTAAATGTAACAGTTTTGGCAAAATATTGCGCCTACACAATTTATATGTTAACAAGCTTTGCAAAATATTACGCCTGTACAATTTATATGTTAACAGCTTGGTAGAATATTGCGCCTGTACAATTTATATGTTAACAGCTTGGTAGAATATTGCGCCTGTACAGTTTATATGTTAACAGATATGACTAAAATAGGCCTGTAAGTTGATAGGTTTTAAGGTCGTGGCTAAATTAGGTTTGCATACTTGATATGTTAACGGGGTTGGCAAAATACTGGTAACAGATGTGGCTAAATACCGCATGCAGAGTTTAAATGTTAATAAGCTTGGCAAATTATTAACCCTGCACAATTAATTTGGTAACAAATCTGGTTAAATTAGGCCAGACAGATAAAATGCTGAAAGACATGGCAAAGTAGTGGGTCTGAACAGTTTGCTTGGTTACAGATGTGGCTAAATTAGGTCTACACAGTTTAAATGCTAACAGGTGTAGTTAAATATTAGTCCTGCCCAGTTTAAATGTCAATAAACGCGGTCAATTGTTCACCTTAAGCATTCAAGAACCTCTGTAAGCAGGATTGTTTTAAAAACTAAGATGATATTTTCACAATCAGATGACTAAGGTCTAGTTTAACGAAAACTTTAGTCAAAAATAGTTTCATTTAGAGTTTACTTACTGATCAAGTATTATTCCAATGCAAGTTACAGCTTTCACAGTAAGGCAAGATTATTTTTAGAACAGGTACGACGTTTCGATCAATGGTGCGATTATTCTCAAGTACACAAGTTTTATATTTTTTTTCCACGAAGAGTGCGGTTAACTAATCATTAAAAAATCATACTTGTGATACTCATACTCTAAAAGTTATCTCTGAAATGTTCATTTTACAAAGTCAAGTGGTCTACGACAAAAAACAAATACCATATGTACTTGAGAATGATCGCACCAGTGATTGAAACGTCGTAACTTTTCTAAAAATAATCTTCCTTGTTGTAAAAACTATAACTTGTAATAAAATCATTTAGTCAAGGATGTTTATTCGCTTGTAACACTTGTCATTGTATTTGCTGAGAAAACAAACAAAAATTTGGTCAGAGATACTAAAAAGCTGATATAATAATATTTCGTCGTATTCATTTTAGAGATAACGTTTAGAGTAGAGGTATCACAAAAACTTTTTTAATAATTAGTCAACCGCACTATTCAAAAACAAAACTGTTAACTAAAATAAAACGGAAATTCACCTGAAACCTCTTTCATGTTTTACCGGCTTTTCTGTCTTTTCCATATCGAAGTAATTCGGTTTCAGATAGCCATGTCCAAGGTGAAAGTCCATATCACTGTACTTGTTATCGAATTTTTCAAACTTTCTCGCCGCGTGACTTGAGGAACGAGGTTCGTCAAACACACTCATCACTTTCGTGTCTTTTGAGTAGCACGAGCGTGGATTAAGCTTGCTTGAGTCTGCAAATTAATACTAAATATTAATGATTTAACTCTCACTTAGTGTTTTAAGTATTTCTATGGTAACTGTGAAAAAAGGTTTAGTAGAAATTGTAACTATGAAAGGAATAAACAGACACATATATGTATACACATGATGAAGATATGGACTGTTTCTGTTTTGGTTGTCTCTGAATAAAATATTCACTACTTGTTTGCTGGCCAATATGTTGGCGTAGCTTTGGTATACATATAACCATAGCTGTTTGTTAAGTTCGAATACCTGCTTAAAAATTATCAGCTGTTTCGAAAAAAATATGAAATGTCAAGTACAAGTGGCTGAAATTAAGTTTTAAGGCTTATAACACTAAAAACCGGGTTTCGATACCCGTGGTGGGCATAGCACAGATAGCCTATTGTGTAGTTTGTACTAAAAAATAGATAAACTTTTCCTTCTTGCTGATTATCTCATCGTTTTTAGTTTTATTTTCGCAGTTAAATTAATCCGCTTAATTCTGAGTTATAATACAAGTTAAACCTTATGCAGTATACTTTAATCTGACGTTATCATTGTTATAATTTTCAAAAACGTCGCACATGAAAAAGTTTGTTGTTTTTCTTAAGGTTACCACAGTGTATATCTCACTCAACGTATTGATATCACAGTATGATAAGTTTAACATACTGATACTCATTATGATACTTGTGCTTACTTTACTGATATCTCAGTGTTGCTTATTTTTCATACCTTATTGAGATATAAACATTATGCTTTAGGCATACTTTACTGATATCTCAGTATTGCTTATTTTTCATACCTTATTGAGATATAAACATTATGCTTTAGGCATACTTTACTGATATCTCAGTATTGCTTGTTTTTCATATATTATTGAGATATCAACATTATGCTCTAGGCATACTTTAATGAAATCTCAGTATTGCTTATTTTTCATACCTTATTGACATATAAACATTATGCTTTAGGCATACTTTAATGAAATCTCAGTATTTCGTATTTTTGTATCACAAGATTCTCATTACTTTATAATATGTAAAACACCATAAACAACTTCGAAATATTAGAGGTCTTTATGTTTGATTGTTGAAACGCTATCATGAACATCATACATCTAACATTACTATTTCTGACACATAATAAAATGATACATCAACCATGAAGGCCCGAAAGTTTTCTCTTTTTTATTTTTATTTTGTCTTAGTGTTTTGTGATCAAATATTAACAAAATCAACATTCCTGCCGAAAGTGCAAAATTTGACAAAAACATTTATTTTGCTTTGCGAGTTCTACGATTAAAAATTGTCAAACACGTTTTTATACAAATATTAAACAAACAAATAACTCAAAGATCCATATTCTATTTAGATCCTTTTGGAAAGTAACGTATTTAATTAAACCAGTAAAAATATAAACGGAACATAAGACTACAAAATATAAAGATGTAAAAGGGATTTAACTAGAACTTCAACAAGAATAATTTTTAATTTTTTTCACCTTATCAGTATGAAAGGTTAAATTATGATGTTTTAAATCTGGAAAAAAACATTATCTTTTACCTCTATCTTTTATTGTTTGTGTCTTCATCGTTAAAGATTCATTTCCTTTTTGTAGTAACCCTTCTTCAGTGGCAATTGGACATCTAGAAATACTGAAATGTGGGTTAAAAGTAAAGGTTTTACATCGAACTAAAAAATATAAACAAAATAGAAGTAAAAAGAAATTAATAACTAAGTAATCAAACGATTCGTGAATCAAAATTCTCAAGTGTGAATTATATTGCGTTTTCATGTTTACTTAATATTAAACATGTGGCTGACTTACAAAACAAGTTCTCAATGAACTTGATAGTTCTGGTTCTTCATTCACTTTCTCCTTTTATATCTCTGGCTTATTATTTCTTCTACAGATCATAGATTAAAATAAGAATAGACTTGAATTAATATCGAAGTGGTGAATAGCTTAGAGCTTATTTGAATTATGCAGAAAGACATCGTACAAATAGGAGAGAATACTTCAAATACTGAATTTTACTTTCGTACTAAAAATTATGAGCAATTACCTCAAAAATGTTAATCTTATAACTATAATAGTTTACAACAGCTTTTTTAACACAAAGTTATAATTAAGATAGGTTTCTAGTCTATAAATGGTAAGTATTTCCTGTATGAGTAATTCCAAATGTTTTACAGTTTAGAAGAAAGCAGCTAACAATTTCTTATAGCTTTGGTATTTACAGTATTAAACTTCCCATGTTTAATAGCTAGAGACTTTAACTTCTTGATGTTCGTTCAAATTTTTAAATTGATAGGTAATTTCAGTTGTCCTAGTGGAATTACAAGAAAATATTTCCTCCAGTAGCTCCGCAGTAGACTTGAAGATCTATAACTCTAAATTTCATGGTTCGATTAACGCTATGGACTCAGAGCAGTTAGCCCATTGTGTAGCTATGCGCTACAGTAAACATAACTAAACACGAGATAAAACGAACAGAATAAAAACATTTTTGTTGTAGGTACAGTTTGTATGGCCTGATCTATATAGATTTATTATCTATAGGGTTTCTTACCTGCGGTGTGAAGATCTACTACTGTTCATGTGATCTCGACCACTGCATCCTGGGATGTAACATCTGACCAACAACAAATATATATCTTAGATACGTTAACTGTAGCTTATTTAAAAAAAAAAACTAACAAAGGTTCCAATCTGTACGCAATAACGTTACAGCTGATAGACAGACATTTCTTTATGTGTAATTTTTGCAAGGAGTCAAGAAAAAAAGAAAGAAAGAAATATATATATATAATATATAAATATTAATACAGACCAAAACTAAAATGACATACCGATTTTTAAAAAGGAGAAAGTGAAATTCAACTATACTAATTTATATTTATATTTCGTCCTCCAATGCGCCTTATCAATATTTTCCCCATTACAGTATAATATTTTACTCAACTTTTCTAAATATTTACATGCACTCTTGGTCAAAACGTTTACATACTGTTTTTATTGATGTTATTGTCTACATGCGTGGATTAATTATTGAGTAAATGCCCGAGTAGTAACAGAGAAAGTAGCGTATGATCGGACAAACATGTATAAGTTGTTATTCTGGTCTGTATAAGTTGTTTTGAGCATTTGTTCGTCAAAACACACGTACACACCCGTTTTGTATAAAAAGGTGTGATTTTGGTATAATATTTTTTGAAAAAGATCAACTCTTTGTTCAGACGATTTCTCTATACTTTGTGCAGAGTCATGCCTCGTCACGTGACAGAAGTTATAGGGCGTCAAATTGTTTGACTGTCCAGAAATGGTATGAAGTAAACGGACCTTTCCAAAGCAGTGTATTGTATCCAGAATCCTGAAACGTCATCGGACTACAGGAAACGTAGCTCCAGGAAAGTCTACTGGTAAACGTCGAAAATCTACTACCATCTACTGTTTTGAACAGGTTAACACGTCAAGGTCGAAAGAAGTCTTGTAACACCTTAAATCAGGAATGGCGTGAACACATTCATTCCAGGTTACCTAGAAGGGCAGTGAATAGCAGACTGACAAAACAAGATTATTTTGCAAGAAGGGCTATCTGCAAACCAATATTAATCAGAATTCACCGCCGTCACCATATTACTTGGGCAAGACACCAGGCCAAGTTACAATTAGGACAGTGGCAACATCTCATCTTTTTACATGAGTCTTGTTTCCGGCTTGTTAAAGCTGATGGTAAGATTCGTGTTTGTCGTTTGCCTGGAGAAAGATGAGGGAAGACTGTCTTTCCCATAGGAGATGATGCAGTACGTGTTTGAGCAGCTATTCATTTTGATGGAAAACTGCTCTTCATATCCTCCAGGAAAACGTCAATGGCGCCTCTTACAGGCATCACATGGAGACGATATTTCTGTCATATGCTGGGACAAAGTTTGACAATAACTTTGTGTTTCAGGATGACGATGCCACTGCTCACGTTGTGCGTATTGTACAGGATTATCTCGATCAGAAGAACGTTACAAGATTGTCATGGCCAGCAAAGTCTACAGATTGTAATCCCATTGAAAACTACTAGTAGAACTGAACCGGAAAATTACTAACCACGATCCTAAATCGTAGCCGACTTGCAGCGCCTTCTAGTGACAAGTTGGGCTGAAATCACAGTGGATTAAATCAATAACTTCATCGACAATATGTCAGTCACCTTGCTGGGGTTATTAGAGCGCGAGGAAGACTAACCAAGTACTGAAAGTTTAATATGAACTGATATAAGGTTACAGACGCTGTTTATAATAATTTGATGTTATATTTTGTCATTATATATGTTTTGGTCAGGTTTTGTTGTGATAAATGAAATGCTGAATTACACATCTTTCTACAGGAATCTGAAAAAAATATTTGCTCTTGAATAAATCGTTCATGGTGTCCATAGAACCTGTATCATAATACAAATTACATATGTAGATGTTTAATACCACAGCGCTAACTGTATTTGTATTCCATCTTAATAATATTGTTTTTATTTGTTACAAAATATGCAAACATTTTGGCCAAGACTGTGTTAGTGCCTGTTTGTGCATGCTGCCTGAAAAAATATCAAATTTCAGTGATAATATAACAAAATTGAGAAAAAATTATTCTATTTTACAAGTAAATCGTAAAGAAAACAGATTTATCTCAAATTATTTACAACAAAACATGAAATGAACTGAAGAGTTTGAACAAAAAATTAAGAAGTGAAAACAAGAAACTCAAAGGTTTCAAAAAAGGAATCAACTAATAAAAATACTTGAAATTCAAGAGTTGCACCAGAAAGAAGCAATCAGTAAAAAACAGTTAAGATGAGCGTTTCATAACAATGAATCAAACAACAAAAATATACTCAAATGAAAGGTTTCAGAAGAAAGATTCAAGTAGTAAAAACGCAAGAAACTCGAGGGTTCATAAAGAGGAATCAAGAACTAAAGAAAAGGGTATAAACTTAGGACTTACAAAATATTATGTCATAGAAAACACAGGTGATGAACTTTAAAATCTTTATTTAGCAAACCTGAACTCTTGGGGTAATCAAAATAACACAGTGATATTAACAACAAATAGTTAAACAATAGAAAAGAGAACGGAATCATTGGTTTAAAGACAGTCAAATCATACAAAATTAAGTGATTTTACAGCTACAAGTCTCTGGTCTTTTACTCACTAGTATTGATATTGTTACAAAAGATACTACTAGTTTAATTGAATTTAGTAGAATAGAACTCTTTTCTTATTTACTAGTTAAAGTATAAAAATATTTTGTATAAGTGGCTCTTAGTTATATATATATATATATTGATTAAATTTCCTTTACAAGTGTAATCTTTATATGAAAGTGAAACGTAACCTTCAAAACGAATAACATAATATTTGACTGGATGTCGAAATTTATACGTCAATTGTGAAGTCTTTATTTCTTATATTTTTGCTGTATTGAGACATATTCGCCGCTTATTTATGTTCTGTAAACTATCTGCGATTTTAATTTTTTAATTATTCAAGCTTAACTTACAACGAAGCACTATACATAAAAAAATTCTAAAGAGTCAATTTCCAGTGGTTTATTTGGCTTAAGGATATAAAAACATTTCTGATGCACACAAACAGTTCAAATGTTGTTCACTAGATGGCAGAACATATAAACCTCATATGCAATTTACAAGTCTCTACATTCATATAGTGCTTAACATCAGGGCAAGTATATCTAACTAGAATTAATGCTTACTTATAGTACTGACATACAACATTTAAAAAAACTAGTATATGCACTTTCAACAAAACCAAAAAAGTAACTTTAAAAGAAGAGTTCCAGCTCTTGTAGATGCTATTAATTTAAAGTTATACAAGACACACTACCTTCTACTATTTTGCTACATCATAATATGATTTATGTTCCTTTCCACAAAATTATGTTTGTAATACAATTAAAAACTAATATAATTTTTTCATACATGATATAATATATGATCGTACTTATTTGTTTTATATGTTTTACCATACATATTTATTATATCATCGTACTTATAGTTACGTGGCACATGTTTTACCATACATGATTTAATATATCATCGTACTTATTTTTATGTGGCACATGTTTTATAATTGTTTGTACTCTTCGGCAATTAGCTACTAATGAAAAAAAAAAAGAAGTATCTTATTTAAACTGCAAATGAAACAATTATTATTTGATAGCAAGAGAAAATTAAAGGTTTCGTTCAACGAAAACCCTGACAGATTTGTAGAGTATTAATTTGGAAATACTTATTCAAGAAAGACACCGTAGAAGCTGCCTTAGATACAAACATGTTTGAAACACCTTAGGCCTTAATTAGCAACTGCTTCCATTTCATGTAATGTAAATGAAAGCAAGAACTATACAAACTATTATAAAATGTTTAATGGTTAAAAAAACGCTCTGTACTCACTTAACGGCCGAATCTTTCTTCGATATTACTGAAAAATAGAAGTTATGTTTTATTTTGAATAAAAAAGACCTTGTACATACTATCTAGTCACTGCGTATATTTATTTATTTAACATAACAACTATGCTATTTTAACACCTAAAAGAAAGTGAGCATAACGCAACAACCTCTCTCTATTTGAGTTGGGTATTCTATAGTTATGAACATGTAGATCAGAAAAATAAAAGAATACGTCATCTACTATATTTAACCTCCTCTATTCGCACGTCTCGCACGTGGAATAAATAAGTAGATACGTGTACTTGAGCTTACACATCTCTCTCTGAAATTACCATTCACTCTCTGCAGTCATTGTGGGAAACTAGTTACTTTTAATGAAACAGAAGAATATAATTCAAAAAGTGTAAAACATGCTAGTAACAAGAGAGTTTTGGGATGATAAGAAGAAACTTATCTCCTGAAGTAGGTGTTCCAATCCCGTTATAGTTACACACTTGTATGGATAGCATAAGAGCACACAAGATGTCTTAGCCTTTGCTTGTAATATCTACCATTATAAGTAATAAAATTAGAATTGATCATTCTAATTTACCACTCAGAATAAATAATTGGATAATTATCAATAAACACTGAGAAGTGTGGTAAAGATATTAGAAAATATAATTAATAATTTAATATTTCTGCTGGTAAACTGCTGTTTCTTTGCAAACCAATGACATATCAGGCAAATAATAAATATAACATCATTCTTATCATTTTAGACACTTAACGTTTTATCCTTTAACGCAAAGAAACGTAACAGTGATAAATCGTTTATTTTAATGAGAATTATAGCGCAATACACATGAATTATAACAAATGACACAAACAACACTTTTTCTGATAACTTTCATACCTTCTGGATAGACTGTTTCTCTTCCAGAAGAGTTGGAGAGACTGAAAAAAAATCAAGCATCTTACTAGTACATATTTAGATCACTTACATGTAAACATATAAATATATTTAATATCATTTTATTTATTACTAAGCGCAAAGCTACACATTTGTGCTGTTCCTGTTGCAGGTATCGAAAGCCGATTTTCGGCGTTATAAGCCCTTGACTTACAGATCTACTACCGTGGTGTTTGAAGATGCCATACTTAATACTCTCTATAACGATACCAACAAATACAGGATTCTTTATCGATTTAATGTAAGTACTTGAGTCGGTTTTATAGTTTGTGATCAAATTGTAAGATTTTGATATCAATTCAATCCCAGTATTATTTTCCATAAAAAAATCCTATAATTTTTCTGCCAATAAGTAGCTATTTGATCAGAATATCATTTAACGTAAAAACAAATTAACTTATAGAAATGTGCCTCGCTTAGTACAAACCATCACCAGTTGGAAAAATGAAATGGTTCTTAAATAATTGTTTGCCGAAGTCTGTCTGAATAGGTATTTGGTTGTTATGCATGACCTGGAAGGGTCAGGTTCTGTTCTATTATTTGCCGAGCGATTTTTTATTTTTATTTTGCACAAACCTACACGAGAGCTATCTGTGCTAGCCGTCCCTAATTTAGCAGTGAAAGACTAGAGGGAAGTCAGCTAGTCAACACCACCCACCACCATATCCTGGGCTACTCTTTTACCAAAGAATAGTGGGATTTACCGTCACATTATAATACCCTCTCGACCGAAAGGGCAAGCATGTTCGGTGACGGGGATTCGAACCAACAACTCTCAGATTGCAAATCAAGTGCTCTAACCAACAGGTCATGCTAGGCCTTTGCCGAGCGAATCAAGGAAATGAGGGCTATAGGCCAGAAGCAAGTTCCATAGCGAGAGTGTTTTAAGACTTACATTTGATTTACTTGGCTCATTTTTAGTGATTCTCATCTGTGATAAATTGAACGATTTCATTTATAAAGAGTTATACTTTTAAAATAAATAAATTCTGCTGAACAAAAAAAGAGCATTTTGGACGAGCCACTCGGCCTTTCCCCTTGTAGTATGCATCATTTGACATGAATTATAAGTTATTTTATTCAAAATAGGAAAACTAACAACTTTAAAAAAGTACAACATCACGTCACCATAGTGTTAATGGGTTTTTTACAAAATTGATCAACTGAACTTACACAAATATCCAAAATATTTGTGCAGCGGTAACTCTGCAGGTTTATGACGCTAAAAAATCGGGTTTCGATATTCGTGATGGGCAAAACACAGATAACCTATTATGTAGCTTTGCACTTAACAACAGCTAAACCAAAACCAACCATTTGTAGTTATACAAAAACCTTCTCACGAAACATAAAAATATTTTTACAAAACACTAAAATACATCTAAATTATGTGGGACAAGAGTACATTCATGATGTTAGAGAAACACGCAGGTTCAAGAATTCTTGACAGAAATGAACCAAAATCCTATAGGGTTTTTATTCATTTCTACAAAAGTACAGATAGTCATATTATTCCAGCAATAGTTGGTGTAATCATGGCTCGAAGACAGACATTCAACAGGATAAATACGTAGAAATTAGTTAAACAAGTAAAATTTATGTGATAATTCATGTTTCAGTAAAAAAAAAACAACTCCGAAAAAGATATGTGAAACTAACACTGTGAATAATAGAAACGGTCAAGGAAGAAAGCCCAAACATTTCAAAAGTGCTTTCATCTTTACACGATGTAATATAATGTAATAAACTATACTTAAAAGCTGATAACTCATCACAGAAAGTGACATGTAAGGTGTTCCAGGTGTTTTGAGGGAGCTATTTTCCTAGAATTGCAGGTGGGGTATATATTCCATTGAGTTTTTACACATTGGTGAATTTTTCAGTTATTATGGCATTATTATTTTAGTGTGTGTCTTAGGTATTTTATTCTGGTGGTTTAAGAAGTGATTGAATTTGCTTGTCTTTTAAAAGTTACGCTAAACTAAAAACAATCTAAAAATTGAGACGTTCAGCATAAAATATTTCTAATAGAGATGCTTACTGACATTTTTATGTTATAATATAAATTGATCTGGATTCTCTCCCCCCTCCATCAATGCGATATTTTAAATCTATATTATGGTCGTAGTTTAAGTATATATTGTAAAAGTTTTCAGTACAATACTACAATGATAGACCATTAAAATAGATAAATTTAACTAATTAATATGGTTGAATTAAGCAAAAAAATTAGAACACACATCAAATATAGTACATGATTTTTAGATGTTGCTTTCTTAAATCAAACAAACAAAAATTATGCAAATGATTACACAGGCCTGCGATGGTTTTATTGTCTTGGCATTTTTACATTTTCTACAGTAATTAATTCCTGTGCGCTGAATCCGAAAATGGTATCCATTTTTCTCCATCACGTACAGATTTTTCCCAAAACGTCATAACGCAATACATAAAAGAAAGACCACAACACGTATTTTTTAGACTAAAAGACGTAGATTTCACAAACAAAATCAGGATGCATATTCGTTTGACATGAATGTTCTACCCTTTTCTTCAGTTTGGTTGTATTTTTGCTAAAAAAATACAATAAAAAAATGTTCATTGTAGTAAACGAAATAATTATTTGATCTAAATAAGAGTCTTTTTCTTCCCGATTTGTGAAAAATACTTACGTGATAGAAAAAAAATCAAAATTATTTTCGAACTCTGCGTGGCTGAATTATGAAAAATCCGTTATTAAAATCAAAACAACTTTTATTATGAAGTTTAAATTCGCAGGAGTGTGTTATTTGGTATTATAAACCATGTTTGGTTTTGAATGATATACACTAGATAGATAAGTCAAATTATTCGTGTTTAAAACGTTTATTTATGCGAAGTATAAGTGGAAATATTCACTGACAAATCATTTTCCAATTGCACTCAAGGTAAGTATCAATACTAAATCTTATAATGAATTTGTGGTGTTGGCAAGATGTATTTATGTAAAAAATAGATTATCGAATATGAAGCCAACATTTAAGAAATATATACATTACATGAGAAGAATTTGAGATAAAATTTATCAATGTCAATATTGCATGGGAAAAAATGATAAGAAAATATAAATAATCAAATAAAAAACGCGACTCAATATCTAATTAAATATGCAAGAAATCTATAGAATAAGAAATTTCTTGAAAAACAAAAATAAATTGTATAAGAAAAAAAATATCTACTTTAAACATAAAACAGCACAACTCACAACCTTCCATATCAACACTAGCTTCTTCTAGCATGAAGATAAGTACCAACAACAACAAGAAGGTCTAGCTAGCTACGAGCTCATAAACCTCTAAATTTCAAAGTTTACGCTCTCGAAACAGTCGCTTTACGCCCCGAGATTAGGCTTAGATATGTTGATGATGCATTCGTAGTATATCGACATATTACAGATAATGTTCAAGAATTTATGAACCACCTGAACAGATAACATCTTTCGATACATTTAACAATTTAAATAGAAAAAGATAATAAACTCCCATTTCTACCCACATAATTCATTTATCAGCTTTACAGGAAACAATGAACATCCGGAAGATTTGACAAAATCAGAAAATTTAGAAGATAAACGATGAGAAGAAACAGGACGGAAACTATAGATATACACTCATGTTCTTCTGTGTCAGAAGTCTCTTTGAAAACATACATAATTTATGTAAATAACATAAACTTATAACAGTACTCAGAAGTCACAACAGAATATGAAAGTAGTATACACACATCAAAGTGGCTAAAGATCCAATAGGGAGGAAGAACAAAATTTACAGCATCTCCTGGGAATATGGATTCCAACTTATTGGAGAAACAAAAAGACCAACAAGAGTAATAAGAAACATACAAGACTCGGTAGCACCGATCCATCTGCAAGGGCCCATCATCCCAGATAAATTGGTATGATAAGTTGGAATCATAACAAAATAACAGGATATGATCACTATGAGAAAAAAACGAAAACTTCATATATACATCTAACTGATAACACACTCAGTCAAACTAGCATAAAAGTCGGCAAATTCTGGATACCCCTTTAGAAATTTTTAAACATTAGCAAATGAGTTTAACGACTACTTAAAAAAATCTCACAGAAAACATTTTAAAGAGAAGTAGTAAAGAAATTTACAAAATATCTTCCTTAAGAAATAGTATTAATATAATTTTTTTATTTACCACAGGTAATGATGAAGTTAAAACTATAATAACAAGTTTGAAAAGAGGGGACATTGTACAAAATGAAGGTATATCAGTAAATATTGTTTAAAATGTCAAAATAATATTTTATATCTATTGGTATACATTTATAACTTGTCTTTTTCCCAGAAGGACCATAAGTCCAACAAGGGCCGTGCTGTTGAATTGAGAGGAGAGAGCCGCGCAGACCAAAGAAATAAAACATTTCAATATCCCAGGCTTTCCGAACTTCCTCAGGTGACATCACTAACACAAACCTACTACGAAAAAGCATTTTTTTTGTTCCATGTAGCATTTTACAATGGGAGGGGTGAAGAGAAATCCGAAGATTTCTGAATACTCCTAGTTTTATTCTCCAAAATACGTAATTGATTTGACTTGACTCTATTAGTATTTTTTTTTTCAAAAATGACTCAAAAAGCACTAAAATTTCCAATATACAAAAACAAATAAAAGTAGTTATGTAAAACGTAAACCTATTTTTATTAGGTGGATTTTAAAAATGTTTATAACAGAAATTTTTAAGAATAAGTAGATAAATTACTTCATTTGGAGTTAGAAAAGGGTTAATTACTGAGCATTCTTTATTAAGCTTTATCTATATAAACATAATTCTTTAGATGATAATAAAATAACTTTAGTTACTTTTTATATTTAGAGAAAGCTTTTTACAAAGTGTTACATCAAATACTAACAGATAAAATAGAATTATAAAGAACAAGAGGTAACGAATTAATCTGGCTTGAAATTTATT